TATATATATATTATATATATATATAAGGTTGAAAAATATATATAAGGAATGAAAAATAAGCGAACTTTTTGTATTATTCGACAACGGAGCGTCCTAGCGTGCAATTTGCAGCTATTACAAACATCATTCAGGAAAAACGACAAAAAGAAAAAAAAACACGATTTATCCGCGTTTTATCGTCGGTTATAATGCAACCCGTTAAGTACATTACTATGTTCATTTCGATGTCTTTCCTCATTATATTCACAAACCTCATTTATTTCTTACTAAATAAAAAACTTGGTAAATATTCACGATACGAAAAATTTACGTCAACAAGGAAATTAAGCGATCTTTTTCGTTCGATAAAAATAAAAAAAGACAGAAAACAAAAAAACGCGCTTATAAAAGTCGCAATTATTATAAAGTCAATTAAAACTTATGAGAGCACGCTGTAATGTCGTCCTCATAATTATTCATCTCCCTTCCGTCTTTCACCGGATGCCAATTACACAGAAAACATGAGGCATTTTGCGCATGTACATTAACGCGAATGCGAATTGCAGATGTCTGCACTTAAAATGCACGATCATTGCAAAATAATTTTGCATTTACTCGCGCGTGTAAGCATGGAATTGTTTAAAAGAGACCGACAAGGAAAGGAATTTAACCCCATTATTTGCAAGTAGAGTAAACATCGTTTCGCAAATTTCAAAAGATATTCATTTCGTAAATTATACGAAGTAATTTAGAGTAAAAATTATCCTAAGTGTTGTGTGTGTGTGTGTGTGTGTGTATATTATATATTTTCAGTTTATTCTCCAATGTAATAAATCCTTTTCAACTACACAAAACTTTCCAACTACTTTTCGCATCTCTATAGGCAAAACCAATCAAGCTTCTTGCATGCAGAGGTGTGGCCCTTACAAAAAAAACATTAAACAATTACGATTTATAAAAATAAAAAATTGTATTGTAAAAAAAAATTTATAATAAGAATATGATAATTTTATATAATAAAAATAACATTTATTACGGAAACTACTTTTTTTCTAAAATCGATAACAATATAAAAAATAAATTATTACATTGAGAATAAACTGAAAATTTTAGGAAATGACAAAATCATGATTTTATATTATTTTATTGCGTAAAAAATGCAAAATTAAAAAAAAAGTTTTTTTTAATTCGAAAAAAATAGAAGGAAAAACTTGCTCACGATCAAAAGTTCACGAAATGTTGGCATTGGCATGGATAAAAACATGACAATAACCTGTAAATCTTCCGAGTATCTTTGATAATAATACCGTGAAAGTCTAAAAAGCTTTTTATGGGTTGTGTTCATTGACACTTTTGTTTAGCGTGAAAAAAAACATCAAAATTTCATCCAATTTGATCGAAATTTAATTTCCATAAGATCAAGCAGAATTATAATTGCGTAATTTATCTGTAATGATATAATTTTTTCCAACGGAACAACGCAAAGTTAAAAATATTAATCTTGCAATATTTATTTGCGATATTATAAGATAATTTCCTTGCAAAGATGAAAATATTTTAATTCAGTTATCTCTTATAAAAAGTTTTCTTATTTGTCTGGTATTCTACAAACACTTTACGTGAAGTTAATAATTAGATGCAATTAAAGCTTTGATGCAACATCACAGAAGAGCTCGCAGAAAGTTTAAAAAGAAACAGAAAATTAATGTGGATAGAATTTTGTCATAAATTTTAAATTTTTGTATTTTGCATAAACTATCAACAAATTAATAGTATGAATCAATTAAATATCAAAAATAAAAATATTTTTATGTTGAAAAAAGTTAAAGTACATGGAAAATAAAATTCCAAGTATTACCTCTTTGGATCATCCTTCATATCGAAACCATCTATTTTTAGGATATTCCATTCGTCTCTCGGTCCCTTAGAATAACTAAAGGAAACCTGAAAAATGAAAAAAAGAATAGTTTGATTCAATAAGTCACAAAAACTTTTTTATCAGCAGAAAAAATTGTATATTAGAAGAAACTATGTAACGTCACTGATATGATGTTAAAAGCGACATCGTTTATTTGATGTATCATATATATATATGTGTATACTAGTTTCTGCGAAATCTGATATCGGTAATATACTAGTGATAAAAAAAGAATATTTTTTATATCAACACTTTGCTTACGCTGATCATACACTCATCACTTACACGTAGCTTGATCTGTACATTGTAACTTGATCTTCACGCATATATTATATTACAATTAGCTAATAATTTATAAATAATTTATTGTAAAAAACCGCGAGTTTAAAAAACAAAAATAATTTTTAACACATCAAATATACGATAGGTAATAGGTTTAAAAATGAGATTTTTATTTTGAATAAAATAATTTAATTTCGACGAAAATTTTTATCGAATTTTTAAAAATAATATCAATAAATGTCAAAATTAAATCTCCTCCCCCTCTCCCTTTCCAATTTCTTCTATTATTACGTATATTCATGATGCTGCATATACATGCGTGCCACATAAAGAAAAAGTAATGTACAGGCCCAATTTAATTGACACTTACCGATAAAAAAATTGACAAATTGACAAATCATATATTTTTAGCGTGTGAACTAATACTAAGCGGAAATCGTATGATTAAATAATGACTATTATATTTGTGAAATAAAACAGATAGTGCTCCGGGTGGTCTGATTCGTGAGTTTTAAATCATCCTATTATCGTATCATTATTTATCATCATGCTATTTATTGCGACCATTATACGCCCAGAATACGAAACAGACATTAACATTGATTATTTCTATCTTGAATTATAGTAACAAATCATTTTGCAGACAGATAAATTGGATAGGTAGATATTCAAATATCATTAAAAAAGTATTTGTAAAATTAGCACGGCATCTTATCAATGTTCAAAAAACAATGATAGTTCCGATAGCATTTTTTTATAGTTCTATTGGTCCTGATCAAAATTAAAAACCGTTTTACATTTTTAATATCAAGAAATAAAAAATGTTAAAAATGCTGTGCTACTTCACGTTCCAGTATGCGCATACTTACAAGTATACCTCTGAAGTACCAGATGACAATATTCTACAGTTATTAAATGTGCTCGTTAATTTTAAGCTAAATTCATTATTATTAACGTTCCAGGACAAAATTCCAACAACTAATAATTTATATATAACAACTTATAATTTATATACAGTTTTTAACATCCGTATATTCCACGAAAACTATGAACTATAATCAAATGTGTTAAAAGTTATCAGCACGATACTTTGCTGTGATATACGGTTATTCAAAATTATATAAAATTATAAAAATTATTATCCTGAAACGTCATATAATAAATATACCTTAAATTTAACGAAAAAACTTAATAAATGTCTTAATATTCATGGCATCAGATACTTTAAAGGGAGGAATGTGCTGAAATTCGCTGTGCGAAGCACAGCATTTTTATATTTGTGATCATATGGTATTAAAAATACAGAACATTTTTTAAATTTTTATTAGAAATGATAGAACTATAAAAAATACTGTTGGAGTCTAGCATCATTTTTTAATAATAGAATGCCCTACTAACTTTACAGAACATGGATCTGTGTGAAGTTAACACAACTTTCTATTAATATAAAATAAATAATAACAGGTCCAATAATACTTTTCATAATTCTACGGTTTTTTATAAAAATAAAAAGAGTTCCGAATTTTTTCGAAAAATAATTTGAAAACCAAAATTGAAAAAGTAACAGTTGAAACTATGTTTGAAAATGATTGCAGAGCATACAATTCTGCTAGAACCAGAAATATCATTAGAATTGTGATAAATTACAGCACACTTTTTTCCAAGTGCTTTGCCTTTTACATTTAAAGTCTATTAC